CTTAAACTTTCTTAAACTAACCGCATCCACCACATCCGAAGGTAATCCGTACCAGAAGCCAATAGCCTTGTTAGAATAATAAAACTGTCTGATCTGAGATGACTTCTTACCGGCCAAATATGTATTTGTATTCCCTAGTTTTCCCATTCTCGCCATTAAATAAGAAAAAATATGATGCATCAAACTATCAAATCCCTTAACAATCATACACACCCCAATCAGATCACCTCTAACTCTGAACTTGTTTTCTTTTGAAAAAAAAAAAAAGGAAGAGATCTTAACCCAGCCTAATATGGTAACATTTCCATCCCAGGTATCATTCTAGTAGGTCTCCTCTGAACCTTTTTCAACAATTCAATGTCCTTTCTGAGGTAAGGAGCCAAAGGCTGAACACAGCACTCAAAATGTGGACTAAACAATGACCTATACAGTGACATTATCACCTCTTTAGAAATCTAAAGAGGTTATAATGTCATTGAAATCTATTCAGTATTTCTGTAGTTACAACTTAAAATCCTATTTGCCCTGGCACTAGCAATAACACATTGCTTGGATGGCTCAAGAGACTGAACAACTAGAACACCAACATCTTTTTCTTCAATAGTATTGTTAAGATTATTATCATTAAAATTATACTCATAATTCAAATCGATATCCCACATGCATTAGCTGCATTTATTATAATTAAGTCATTGCCATTTATTCGTCAAACTCGACATATAATTCATGTCTTTTTGTAAGGCAATAGCATCCTCCTCACAGCGAACAAAACACAAAACTTTAATTTCAGCAACAAATCTATTGACCATTCCTTCATCTATGTCATTAATGTACATCACAAAGATCAAAGATCCTAACGATGAGCACCGAGATACCCAACTCGTGACATTAATCCAGTTTGACTAAACTCCATTTATAACAACCCTCTGCTTTTTCCATCTAGCCAGTTTTTTATCCAATGAGCCACCCTATCCTCCACACCTATAGAGATAACTTTTTTTTAAACAAACCTCCTATAAATGGCACCTTGTCAAATGCTTTCTGAAAATCCAGATATACCACAATCACACCTGTACCCTCATCTACATAAGCAGTAACCTCTTCAAAGAATGTCAGAAGATTAGTAAGGCAACATTTTCCATTAGTCAAGCCATGCTGACTATCCAACAATGCCCTCCAGTGGCACAGCGGTACGTCTGTGGACTTACAACGCTAGAAACCGGGCTTCGATACCCGTCGTGGGCCGAACACAGATAGTCCATCGTGTAGCTTTGTGCTTAACTACAAACAAACAAACTATTAAACAAAATTTTAAACTTTGTTAAATGACTTTGCAAAACATCTTTCATCACACTTTCAAAAATATTTACTACTACTGATGTAAGACTAATAGGCCTATATGAAATGCCATGATTTGCCACTATACAAGTTTTGAACTTTCAATCAACTGTTATAACTGTGGCGGTTGAGCGTATTCGTGCATGGCGCCAAGTGGGCGCTACTTACTGGTTGTCTTCCTTCTAGTCAGTAGTTCTAAATTAGGGATGGTTATTGACGAATCTTGGTGTCTCCGACCTGGCTGTTTAGCCCGTATATCATACAAGATGCTTTTGAGGTTGAAAATACCCAATACAAAAATATCGGAAGAACTAAGAGACAAAGATATCATCAGTCCAACACCTAAGCTCATCAGGTAAGCTGTACCTGCAACAGCCATTCTGCAATGCTATTTGTTTGCAATCTTAACAATAAAGTTAAGGTACTTTCCATTTTAACACCGTATTAATACTGCTAATGTATTAAAATTTTTATTTTGATGAAAATCCATGGAATTTTATGATAATTGTTGCGTATATATATATAAAATTGTTAGTTCTTATTTTTCAGCGTCCTGTTTGTCATGGGTACCAGAAAAAGGAACTGTTGGAGCCAGCGGTGACTTAGCTCCTCTGGCCCATCTGGCCCTGGGATTGATAGGAGAAGGGAAGATGTGGAGTCCAGAAAGTGGTTGGGGAGAGGCTAAATATGTACGTACAATTTCTTCTTTCTGTAGTTGGTCCGGCATGGCCAGGTGGTTAGGGAGATCGACTCGCAATCTGAGGGTTGTGGGTTCGAATCTCCGTCACACCAAACATGCTCGCCCTTTCAGCCGTGGGGGGCGTTATAATGTGATGGTCAATCCGATTATCCGTTGGTAAAAGAGTAGCCCAAGAGTTGGTGGTGGGTGGTGAAGACTAGCTGCCTTCCCTCTAGTTTTACACCCCTAAATTAGGGACGGCTAGCGCAGATAGCCCTCGTGTAGTTTTGCGCGAAATTCAAAACAAACCAAACTTTCTGTAGTTATTTATTTATTACTATCTAAAAACAACAAACTTTCAGCTTTACAAGAGAAACATTACCAACGTTTCCGATGTTTTTGCGTGCATAGACTTTGTTATATTTTACTTTTGTGCCCACACTCGTATGAGAAAACATATAGATGAAACATTAATCTATAATAACAACTTCACCAGTCAAACTTTCTTCTCCAAAGACTCGAGTCTACCCGATTGTGTTTTTACTCAGATCATTTTAGAGAATTAAGTGTTTAGTTATGTTTTCTTCTTAAGAATGATTTGTTAGTTAGAATACACTATAGTTCATTTATTGGGCGAGTATTAATTTTCCTTTGTTGAACACGACACTTTCTTTACATCCTTGCTGTCTTTCGGGATCTTGCTTATGTATCTTTCACATGTCTGTCATGTCAAATCGTCCTTTCTCTGTCTTAAACCTCTTTTCGTATTACCGAAACCTCTAAATGGTATCAATAATTTCTTATTTGGTTACATTTTGTACAATTCTTTCTGTGTAAAAAGAAGTTCCCAAGCAGTCCATATTACACTCTTTTTTTTAGTTTGTCTTTAAGGATGCTGTTGCTAATACTGTATAATACTCTTATTCTTCGGATGAAAACCGATTTTTTATTTCTAAATGTAATTTCTCTTTTTCGCGATAGGTGTATAGATCATATTATATTAATCCATCTTTTAAGCAAATGAAATGTTCCTGTTTCTATTCTATTTTATAAAAAATCATATCTATTACCGTGATCACTAATATAACCAACATGTATTATAGGCTATTGCTTTTAGAAACATCTTGGTGTTATTGTATAACTTTTGTACGAATGTAACGTTGACAAAACACAGAATACTGAAATTGTTTGGCCATAAAATTATATTAGTGTAAGAAATTTCAATAACCAGTAAATTTATCACAGCTGCTTTTATGCATGAACTTCCTTGTAGTTATCTTTAAAAATCTTATATGTAATCTTATATGTCATCTTTTATGGCATAAAAGTCGCTAAATAAAATATGAACATATTTTTTTTTTTCTTTTTAGAGAAAACACTATTTGGACCCAAATTACACAAAATTAGCCGTACTAGAAATACACGAGTTATTTCTTTTCTTTGCTTCAAATTGTTTTTTTTTTTTTTCTTGGTGTCAATATCTTTGAATACAGTCAATAATTTTTTTATTCTTAATAAAATCATTATTTCTTTGTAGGTCTTGGAGTCACATAACCTGAAGCCAATATTTCTAAAGCCAAAAGAGGTAAGAATACTGACAAAAAAAAAAGATTAACTAAATTACAGAATTAAACTAAGTATGTTAATCACATAAAATCACTTATAATATCACTGTACGCAGAGAAGCAACAGAACCGGTGTCATATATATATATATACGTTTTAGTTAGTGTCTTAAGATGTTTAGCATATACTCAAACGAGCTAGAACGTTCCTCCATTTTGTAAAGTGAGCCATAAGAATTTAGAAACTTTAAAAAGTCGTGCTTGTGTGGGACTCTTTAATAAAGGTAACTACTTTAAAAAGTCGCGCTTGTTTGGGACTCTTTAATAAAGGTAACTACTTTAAAAAGTCGTGCTTGTTTGGGGCTCTTTAGTAAAGGTAACTACTTTAAAGGTCGTGCTTGTTTGAGACTCTCTAGTAAAGGTAACTACTTTAAAGGTCGTGCTTGTTTGGGACTCTCTAGTAAAGGTAACTACTTTAAAGGTCGTGCTTGTTTGAGGCTCTCTAGTAAAGGTAACTACTTTAAAGGTCGTGCTTGTTTGGGACTCTCTAGTAAAGGTAACTACTTTAAAAAGTCGTGCTTGTTTGGGACTCTCTAGTAAAAGTAACTACTTTAAAAAGTCGTGCTTGTTTGGGACTCTCTAGTAAAAGTAACTACTTTAAAAAGTCGTGCTTGTTTGGAACTCTCTAGTAAAGGTAACTACTTTAAAGGTCGTGCTTGTTTGGAACACTCTAGTAAAAGTAACTACTTTAAAAAGTCGTGCTTGTTTGGGACTCTCTAGTAAAAATAACCACTTTAAAAAGTCGTGCTTGTTTGGGACTCTCTAGTAAAAGTAACTACTTTAAAAAGTCGTGCTTGTTTGGGACTTTAGTAAAAGTAACTGATCAGTTATTTATATAAATCATTTTGCGATCTTGAGAAATATCTTCTTCAGGCCAGTGATTGCACAGACTGGACCAAAGTAGATACTGAACCTCAGCTATCTTACTTATTTCGAAACACTAGTTGTTGGACAGCTTCGGGTTGTATTTATTCATTAGTACTCTAATCATAGACTCTATGCTCTTAACACCGACTTGGTGTGCTATACACGAAGATGATACTGCATTTATGGACTTTGTACTCTAAACAGTGACTTGCTCTAATCATCGGCTTCTTGCTCCAACTTCGAAGCTGTTACTCTAATCCTGGACTTGATGTTCGAGAAATGAACTTGTGTTCTAATCACAAAACTGATTTACTGAGCACCGATTTGAGATTATAATACTGACCTTATGCTTTAATCACAAAATTATTGCTCTAGTCAGACTACATGGACTTGATTCGATTTGGTGCTCTAATTACGAAATTGATGCTTTAAATATGGGCTTAGTGCTCCTATTTAGTGCTCTAATTACGAACATCGTTCTCCAATAACTGACATAATGTTCTGAACGTGGACTTGATACTTTAATACGGATTTGATGCTCTAATCACAAACTTCTTACTTTGATTATGGACGTGATGTTCTGAAGACGCAGTTGATCCTGACACAACGGATTTGGTACTCAAAGCAGGTTTTTTAAGTTAAGTTATTTAACTACAGTTTATAACGAAATTACTCATGTACTTTCAAATTATTGCAGGGTATAGCTTTGCTGAATGGTACACAGTTAATTACATCAATAGGAGCAGAGGGTAAGTCATCAATCTAGTAAAAATAAACTTATTATCATGGATTTTTTAAATTTTAATTTGATATTCACATATCTAACTTAATTTAACTGAATGGCAGTTACAAGCCACTGTGTCCAATAAACTAACGTCACTGCCAGAAATACTAGTGTTTATTTTAATGTAGATCTCCACATGGACTTAATTTCTTTAGTACAATTTTGATATAAAAGAAAGTAACAGGAATTTAATAGTAAATAAGTTTGCCCACGGCAACAAATTAAAAAAATTACAATTTTCAATCCCGTTCATAAATAATTGTTATAAGTTATATTTTTAAAAATGCGTTTCAGCCGTAGAAAGAGCGATGATTATTGCCCGTCAAGCCGACGTGGTAGCAGCTTTGTCAGTGGAAGTGTTAAAGGGGACCACAAGAGCTTTCGACAAAGGTAGTAATCTTGAACACAAACTTAGATAGTTCAGTTATTTAGTGGTAATCTATAGATTATGAGACATATCCCAATTCAATATATCTGGATAAGCAACCTTTCTTTAAACGGTATAGTTTATAAAATTTTAAGGAAATTATTTCACAATCACATTATAAATTATAGATTTAAAATTACTTGCTCCAGATATTAATATTCAAAAGAATATCATAAATAAAATGTATGTTTAGGCCGTTATAAGTACTAATTATTTTTAATATTTTAATACAAGACGAAGAACCAACACTCAGATTGATCTGCTAAGCCTCACCAGACGTATACATATTTTTAAAAGATGTTTCATGTTGCAAAGTGAACTTAAGAAGGAAGTTAAACGTGCTTAAACTCTAAAGATTTTTGATTAAATATGAATAAAGTTGCTTAAGATGTCATTCTTATTTTTGTTGGTAACATTAGGACAGAAAGTACATCGTTTGGTATTTGAAATGTATATTCCGATAAATATGTTAATAAAACTAAAATGTGACAGGACTGAGAACATTTTAAATTTTATAATTCAAATCTTTACATATTGCTAATTTTAGCATCGGTATGGTTCTTAGGTGACTTAACTAGATTATCAACAGACGATTATCTACGATTTAAGTTAGCTTGGGCAGTGAAACAGTTATTAATAACGGATACAAACAGCCGACAAAACATTCGCTTAAACTAGAAATACTAATTGACAAATGTTATTATATATTTCAAATAATATTTTTTTTGGCTTTTCTAATGCCGATAAGTTGAATTAATATTTATGAGGTTACGAACAAAACTAGTAAATTGAGTAGTAATTTAAAAACTAAACTTTAGCAAGCAGTAATTAATAACTAGCATCAAATGCATATTTGATGCATTTATATTAACTCTACATACTTATTAGTTTGCGGAATGTTATGTTTAATAAGTTTAAGGTCCTTTCTTTGGAGTTTTACTGTTGTATCAAATTATTCAAGGACACAAGTAACAATTAGTTTGCTTTTGTTAAAAAAAATGTAATAAAGAGTATACTTGGAAGAAACATAAGTTAAAGTTAATTTTCTTCCACAAAATTTCCAAGACTAACATTCAAAAGGTTTATTGTAGTTCTAATTCGTTTTTACTTACCAGGTAAGTTTTCTAGGATACTCATGTCATGGCCATGACATTGTCTTAATAACGATTATCATGAAATGTCAATTATCTCATGTTCTTCGTCATATATTACAAATGTTTAAAAGAATTGAAAGCCATAAGTTTTTTTTTCTTCCCTTCAGAAATACAAAAGATTCGACCTCACCGCGGTCAAATTATTGTAGCTCGACGACTGAGGGCGCTTTTGCATTCCAATACTCATCCTTCAGAAATAGCAGGTATATAAATGGAGCTTTGATTATTTCAACATGTTATGTGTTGAAAAGTATGAAAAAGAAATAAAAACAACTAAGTTTGACGATAATATAGGTTTCGTATTTACTGAATAATTAGAGCATATATTTTCAAAATTGAAAATGTGACATTTTCTTTAAGAATTGTACGTGCTGTCATCAATGTTTTACATAGAGCTTATTCGAGAAGGTGGTAACGTCAAGAAGCTATCTGTAAACAAATAACTATATCAAGACCTAGTTTTCCTCGATTTAAAACTTTGATTTTCCTTTTCTTTTGCTTGAGGTATAATATATAAAGTTTATAAATGCTATTATCTTGATAATTCATATCACTGTACAGATTTTGAAACGCTCTTCATTCTATTTAGAGAGCCATAGGTTCTGTAATCGAGTGCAAGACGCATACACGCTACGGTGCTGCCCTCAAGTGCACGGTATTGTCAACGACACCATTGAATTTGTGCGTCACATCATCACCACGGAAATGAATAGTGCTACAGACAATCCTGTATCTTTTGGTTTTGGTACAATTAGTTGAGATTACTTTTAAAATATTGAAAGACAGTTGTTTCAAAATGCTCAATGAATATATATATTTTTGTTCAATGTCGGAAACGAAAATACGTTCCACAAATATACACTTTGCGCCATGTTGAGCTCCAATAAAGTAAAACTAAAACTCCGAGTATCCGGACAAGTCTTTCTTCATGCTCCACAATCACTGGATCAGTGTAATATTACAAATGTTCAAAATGCCTACCACCGCTATCAATAAAAGTATGACAACAGAATAAATATGTTCCGTATTTTTTTTTATCAGGAATGCCCATAGTTTATCGTGTACAACGATGTTTGCAGTGAACTTTTACTGAAGGTTCCAAAACTGCTGTGGAGATTTCCAGTGGCGTAACTACCAAATATACCCCCCCTCCCCTCATATAATAAGTAGTTAGGCCGGTCTCCTACATTTATTTCCCTATAAATGTAGCTACGATTCTGTCTGATTGATATCTTAACAGAATAGTGCAACCACCTTCTAGTTCAACCAAATTAAGTTGTATGTCACTCCCCTTGTCAGCAATTTAAGTTTCTCAGACCCTTTGCACCCTCCCACTACAAACGTGGGTAGAGAGAAGAAAATACAATACAGCAATACAGTACAATGATAGGAGAACCTGTTGGAACGATGCTGTACGCATCTACATTTGCATGAGATTTTGTTAATTGAAAAGTGTATCCAACTACATTACTAAACATACATTTCATACTTGATATGGCTGGTTGACTTCTACAGCAAACCTAGTCACGAAAGGGGTACCTCCCCCCTTCAAAGTCGCTCTGTCAGCTGTTAGGCCGTTATCGTGTAACGCTCAATCCCACTCTACGTTGGCAAAATCGTAGCCCAAGAGTTGGCGGTGAGTGGTGTTGACTAACTGCATTCCATCTAGCCTATCAATGATAAATTAGGGAAAGCTAGCGCAGATAGCTCTCGTGTAGCTTTGCGCGAAATTCGAAGTCCTAATTTAGCTACTGTAAGTGCGTGTATTTAAGATCTTTACAAACACGTAAGCCATTTACAGTATGCTACAGTAAACCGTCATATATTCTATGCGCATTTTATAACGTTGTACACTATACTGAAAATAAAAAAGAAGTAATGGAAGTAATGGTTTATAAGCGCATTTCAACAGAACGAAGTAAGATTTACTCACACAGGTAATATAGCAGGCTTTGCATGCTCGGAGAGGAAGGTTCAAAGAAATAGTAGTATTGTAACTTAGTTTTCTGTAAACTGGAGTGTGTAATTCTGTTTGAAAAGAAAAGAATGGTGGGTCAATGTTAAGTAAAGATCCGAGGCTCAAATCCCCAAGGTGGACAGAGAACAGATAGTCCATTCTGTAACTTTGCGATTAAAAGACAATAGCAACAACAAAGGCGATATTGAAAAAAAAAGGTGGAAACTGTTGAAATATGAGAATTTTATTGTTTAGGTTTTTTGTATCGTTGGTGTTGGAACCACAGTGTCTCAGCGGTAAGCTTAAGGGCTTATAATGCTAGAAATTGGGGTTTGGTACCCGCGGCGGCCACAGCGCAGATACACCATTGAGTAGCCTTGCCCTTAAACACAAACAAGACAAACAGAAATATCTAATTTAACAGCAAAGCATCCAGAGATGCAAGCTAAAAAAAGCAGTTCTACCAAGTAATACTGAGACAGGTTATCAATTTTAGTCAAAGTTTTTTAGGTTACTCGATTCTAAAATATCCCACATATTTGGAACAGTTTTCAAATGAACATTATTTTTTTGTTAATGCCCATTAGTCATATTTCCTCCAATGTAAAAACTATAGTATTGATTTAGTGAAACAGTTAGTGTTTAACTGTTAAGTTCTGATGGAAGCAGTAGCACAAATAGAATATAGTAATGTTATAAAGGTTAAGAGTTTTACCTACTCAACAATGGTGTGAGAAAATTGTATATCCAGAAGTTCCATTACGAAGGGATATGTACACTAGAACAAGGTTTCTGGATATGTACACTAGAACAAGGTTTCTGGATCTGTACACTAGAACAAGGTTTCTGGATATGTACACTAGAACAAGGTTTCTGGATATGTACACTAGAACAAGGTTTCTGGATCTGTACACTAGAACAAGGTTTCTCAAACTTTTTGCACCTTAAGACTCGCATATGCATAGCTGGAGTAACCGGGGGAGCACTGGGGCACCAAATTTTGACCCAGTAGCGAAGTGCCACTTTGAATGAGGAAAAGGAGACTTGTGTATAACTATCAAGGAAATTCGCTTTTTTGAAATCAAGTCACGGTTAACATAGCAAATAAGGTTCCCCCAGTCGAACATGGGGCATTCATAAACAAGTGGAATTATATTTGAACCATAACAGCTTACAAGTAAGAACAAAACACGTCAATGGGGTTGGGTGTGAGAGCAACCAGGCTCAGCACAGTGTTAGTTGCCTCGTGTCCTTTGAGAAAAATGTAGGTGTTTCGTTCTTAAAGAATGTGAGAAATATACTTACCAACTATTTGTAGGATAAGGTAATCATAATTTGTAAACCAGGAATTCTAACAAAAAACAAAAGTTATACCTCTACTCACTAATTCCAGATGAAGACAGTATTGGAGAAGCTTGTTGTATAACTGACAGTTGTATTTCTCTGATTGGCTTTATCGTTTTAGAATTTTAGTGTTATAAAAAGTACAATCAAATAACAGAAACATGTTCTGTGACAGTGTCAAGGCTATAGCTATGGCGACTGACTGCACCAGTGTCGTCACATAACGGCTCTATACTTAAGCTAATTAAACTGGCTGAACCTTTGTTTCTAATGCATTTATACTGTATATTTAAATAATAAATATAAGAAATGAAATTTAATGGAATTTTGAGGGGGGGGGGGAGGACAAAATTTCTAATCTATGGGCTGTTTGCGGAAATTAGGAACATTGTAAGTTTTTTATATATATATGGCTGCAGGTTTTTTTTACAATAGGTGTCTGTGACTTTATGGAGATAAATTCGAACAATAAACAAAACAGCACACTATTCACTTGTTTAAAAATATATTCAAAACAAGTCTAATGTGTACAAAAACTAGTTACATTATTGGTTATCACAGTTGTATCCAGAGCTTTAAATTGTCTCCTTTGCATCAAAGTCCACACAGGCGGGTTCAATTACTTTAGAACACCCTTTGATAAGACAAATTCTTCTTTATCTCTATTGTTACAATACCACTGTGAAATCACTTTAGATATCGTCCATTATTATGGCTAAACTAACAATTACATAGTCCAACTTCAATCTCACTAATTTAACTTTTTCTAACATACTTTACGCGCACAGAATAATCTAGAAATCTCTAGCCCTCTAGAAGCAACAATATTACATGTAACTAGAAAAACTTAGAAGCTTCGAGTAAGATGACGTCAACAATATTACTAAAGCCTGCATACACAACGTACGACTCGTACCGAATTACATAATGAAACTTGTCACAGCTATCACTTTTAAAATAATTAACTTTTAATACTCTTGTAATAAAAACTAAATAATCATTAAATATTAAATCACTAAATAAGAACTCTTAAACTAAACACTTGTATATCCAACAGACATGTGATAATCTTATTCTAAGAGGGAAGTAAGATCTATAGTTTTCCAAACCTAAAAATCTCACAGTAAAGGAAAATTAAGAACAAGAAAACGATAAAGTATAATACGATTTTCCTTAGCTTATTTCAGTTGGTATTTTCTGACCGAGGCGAAATTATTT